CCTATGTCTCGAAACAAGGCCTGTAGCCACCACAGAGTGGGAGCTGACAACACCCTTCCTAGAGAGAGAAACGTGTGACAGTTGCTTTTGGAAGGTGATTGTGCCAAAACCCAAGGAAAATGCACACTCCAAAGTAGATTGCACAAAAACGGAAAAAACAACACAACGCTAGGCTGCAAATCGAAGACAAAGAAAAACAGAGCTGCAAGGACAGTCTGCGCAAGGTCTGCAAAAAGATCAGATTTAACGCAGTTAAATATAATTTTGCATGAAAAATGCTTGCTTGCAGTCGGATAGTTGCTGCATGTTTGTTTTTGCGGGCCAACACTTTGGACTTGCACTTGCTTTCGATGTCGTCGTTAAGGAAAAAGTGAAGGTTAATGTATAGTCATAGAGACTGTTTCTATCTTGTTTGTTGCCGCAAGCAAAGTTATGATGCACTCACTTTTCATCTTGCTTGCTTGCAACACTGGAAGACGTCAAAAACGAATCGTCTGCCGCGCTGGATCCAAAGATCGTTTCAGAGCAACACTGCCTGCAAGGGAAACAGTTGCTGCTGGTTTTGGTGCTGTCACAAAGTTGAAGCGCCAGCCTCCTCGCCAAATTACCAAGTCTGTGACTGTATGCTGGTCTGTCGCACATGTAGAGCCATTGTATCGGTTGTTGTGCTTACTTGTTGGTGTGTGTGCGGTCACGCAGTCGGAATCCATGGATTTGTTCTCAGCGCATGACCGCCGACCATTCGTGTCAAGGCTGATGTTAATATGAGACCGGTAATTCACTGCTGAACGACTTTTTCCGGCTAAGTCTGCAAATCGCAGCTTGTTTCACCGCTTTTAGTGGCGGCTTTCTTGTTCTTTGTTGCTTATTGTCGATTTCCTTAGGACCGAATGCGGCAGCCGCCGTCGACGAGACCTGACCACGCCAAAAAAACCAAATTACCAAGTCTGTGAAGTTGCAGCTTCAATGCACAGGCCCTCAGGTGTTTGCACGGCAATGTGCTGCGCAAGATGGCGACTTTTGATAGCAGCGCATTGCGCGTAAATTACGCGCTCTGGAAGACTGCTCGCTGTGGCTCGTGCACTCTTGTCCAACCCGTAGCTTTGGCGAAGAACCCCGCAACGTGCTGCGATTGCTCAAGTTTTCCATGTGTGTTGAATGCCTGTCGGGAGTTTCATGAATAGAAGCCTTTAGTTTTCCCCCACCGTGGCCCGAAAATTTACTTCAGTTCTGCGTCGCACCCGAAAAAAGTAGCGAAGAATGAATGCTTGCCCGTCGTGTATGTAGTTTCCCTGAGTTTTTTTCCCAAGCGGTATACCGCGTGCTTCTTCCGCAGACTTTTACATTTTCCCCGCACGTTGCTCCCACTGAACGAGCGGCTGACAAGCGGTTTCAACTGAAAGAGAAAGAGTCATGTGTGTTGTGGCGTTGCAATCCAACAAATGATGTTACTGCGTTGCAGCTTTTTGATGCTGTGGTGACCTGCATTTCAAGATGGCAACACGTTCGGCTTGGCGGAGCACCACCAAATAGCATGCAGCCAATTGAGGGCAAAAAACAAAAGTGTTGTGCGAACCGACAAGCTTGAATACAGAAAGCCTCCCCATATAGATTGGCAATCCCAACGACCACGTCAAGCATCATGCCCTTCGTTCACGGAAGAAACCAAAGGCAATCGATTTGGAATCGACAGAGTAAACATCATATCGGTTTCAAAACATGGCTTGTGTGATCATGACAATGTTGAAAAGTTTCCTGACCCTCAAGGGCATGTGCGCATGTGCAATGCCACAAATGTGCATCAGTACGTGGTGGGTGATGCCACCATAGCAACTATGTGTGCAGTACAAAACAGCTGCATATTACCTGAGCAGCGGCTCAGCCGCACACTTATCAGAGTTTACATGCGGTGACAATGACGGAATCTTCAAAACCTGACCTGGAGGCGGTTCATGTCATCATTGTGTTTTGCGTCAGAAGTGTTGAACGGTGCATTTGGGAACAACAGGTTCTTGGATTCTACGGACATGGACCCGCCTCATTGAGATGGCCTCGAAGTTTTCATGTTGTGTACCTTGTATAGCTTTGGACCCTCAGCTCAGGTACAGGGAGTTCAGCAATTTCTTCGAATCCCCTGCGTTCGGTGGTGGCCTCAATGACAGCCGGCAAAATACCTGCTGTTGCAAAATCTTGATGACAGGTTTTCGTTTGCCAGCATTTGCGCGACATGCTGGCTGGGACGAAGTTGTCTGGAGCATGGCATTCATTTGATTGCAGATTCACAAACACTGCACAGTTTGGTTGCAATGATGTCCACCATGTGTTTCTTGTGCGATTTCATGCGGAGTCCGAACGATGTAAGTCACAGAGCGAGGTGTCCTGCCGTTTTTCGGAGAAAGCGATCATGTTGATGAAGGCGCCGTTTAATTTTTCATGATGTCGGGACCCGCAATTTTTAGACATAGGTCTAACATGCTGACGCTCACGGAAGCTGCATGTTGCATTCTGCCGCTTCTGTTCACGCGCTTGTCATCTTGTTGACATCCGATAGGCAGCTCTGATGAACGACAAGGCAAGCTTTGACAAGATAAAGTGCTCGGGCGATGCTTGGCAATTTTTCTAAGACTGTTTCCCGAGATATGGAACATGTCAGTTATTTGTTCTTTTCGCTCTTACAGAAAATTTGCCAGGGCTTGCAACAAGCCTGCGGAAGCCAAGGCCATCGGTAAGCTGATAGACTGGATATGTATACCATGAAGGAAATGAATGCTGTTAGTGGGGACACTCGGTCCACTAGTTCAAAGTCACGAGCATGTGTTTCTGGAGGCACTTGGCCGCAAAGTTGCGCCTTTCGATGCTGCCAAGTGGAATGAACACGTCCGCGAGGTGGGAGCCTGGAGCCGTCAGAAAATGTACCACGTACTCATGTAGTGTGTGAGATCGGAGAACTGTGCATGTTCACTTTACTTTCGGTGATTCTGCACAGCTGTATTCTAACACTCCTGGGTGCACGAAGCGGTGAGGTGGCTTTCGAGGCATGCTTGCAAAAGTTCGCTTCCAGTGAGGAGCTCAAGAAGGACCACTTGGGCTGCCTGTATGTCGGTTTATGTTTCTATTCTTACATGTTCGAAAATGAGCGATTCGAGCACTGCCACAGTTAGAGCGCTACGACTCAAGCATTTCCGATTCGAGCACGCACGACTAGGCCTTGACTATTCAGGCACCTGGCCGGTGCAAGCAAGGGCGATTGGAGCACCAGTGATTCCAGCACCTTTTTGCGGTTAAAGCAGCACCGTTCTCAGGCACTCCGTTCTTGGCCGGTTTGTCGCCCCCGCTGCTTCTTTAGGGCCCAGAAGTGTGACAACGAAGTCCTGCTACCTGACAGCTTGTCTCCCGGGTGACCCGGAATCTGACAGGGTTCAATCGTCTTGTTTGTAGTGCTCGTTATGTTTCTTCCCCACACCGTGCTCTTTGCCGCTCAGGCCTGTCACTGCCACTGCTACTGCTACTGCTATGGCTTGCAGCAGCAGCAGCTGCTGCTGCTGCTGCTGCTACAACTGCAACAAAAATAGCCACAACAACAACAACAACAGCAACA